GGAGCTTTCGCTAATAAATCCACATTAGGCAGTTTATATTTTCGTAATGCATTTTAAAGAAAAACAGCGAATGCTTCAGTGGTTTATGGCACAATGTCCAAAAAATAAAATGGCTTTTCGTTCAGCGTGGGTCCTGCCGCACTTTAAACTTTAAGCTAAGCCTTTGTTCCTCACAACTGTACCTGAAACAGTCAATTCTACAGCAGCCAGTTACTGGCATTTGGTGATGGTAGACACAACACCGTTTCGTTGTTTTCAACAAGATCATTCATCAATAAAAAGTTTATGTTACTTTACCCCGTTAAAATATATACATAGCATTTTGCGAAAATCAGTTTCTCACTAATTGGCTCCAGATAGTATCAAAATCGTTTAAGGATGAAACAGATAGACATCACAGTTATTCAAAATGTAAACATGCGAACTGGTATCACTTTGCACACTGTGAATTGCTGCAGTAATGACTATGGTTTTCGACATTTAATGGGCAAGAATATGATTTCATAAGCGACAGCATTCACTAGATTTGCAAAAGTGCAACTGTTAGACAAAATATGCTTTAAAATGTGATTTTCAATGGACCAGTTTTATGCCTAGATGACAGTCATATGCTAAAAATGGTTAGCTGTTTCGCAGAAAGTCCAGCGTATTGCATATCAATTTTCTCCTACCTTTATCCTATATCTGGTAAATGGGCGATTTGCGTAAGCTTGAAGATGCGGAAGGCAGTTTCTTACTCTCGTAAAAATAAGTCAACCCGACAGCAAAGGTTTTAAAAACCTCAAAAATGAACAGTTGATTGTCACTCTTCCGCTTGCCTGCAACGGATGCATCAGATTTGACAGCGAACGAATGAACTGTGCAGCTCAAAGGAGGCCAGTTGTCGGTTGTGCATTATAAGTTGAATCCACAGCGGAAGAGCTAGTGGATGATGTCGCCTTATGTTGCCAAGAATCATGTCAGATGTGTCAGAACGGTAGTAGAAAAATATAATTCTGACGATAAAACGGTGCACAGCCGAAGACCAATTGGCTAAGAATGCAGCTAAAATCAGTTGCGTTTTAGTCCATCGCATACCTCTCACTATGCCATACGGTGAGTATTACGTGCAATTTTAGACAGCCAAGAATGACACTGATGGAGTCAATATGTATTCCGAATTGCATAGATGACGGTAGCAGGCAGAGCTTTATTTTAGGAATTCTGGGGTCAACCATCTGAAACTTTTGAGTGGAGGTACAAGAACTCCAACGGTCAGTTATCATTGCATTTACTATCAGGTATACATCAAGAAAAAGCTAGAGTACTCAGTGTCTTGGCACTGGATTGGTAAAGTGCTTAGCAGAGATGGATGCAGATGTTTGTAGCAAGGAAATCTTCTTGATCTGCTACATCCACTGAAAGGAGAAACTGAAGACAACATATAAAACAAAATTTAGCAGCATATCACCGGATGTAACACAGTTCTGTAGTACATCGTAAGAATTGTGGGAACAGCATGAAGATTGCCTCAGAAGACCGACCGTTTTAAACAAAGAATGAGGGCATTCGGTGTTTGTACAACACTTATAACGGTATACTGTCGTGTGCTTGATAAGAAACTTTCATTTTTCAGATGCAATGACGACTCGTGCAATGATTAGTGGAATATGTCATAACAGAGCAAACAAACGCTCCATTGGGCCTGACCCGCTGATGTTGAACTCTGTTCTTTCTTGTTATATGCATTCGTGACTTTGTTTGTGCTCCATTTCACCGGCCTGGTTTGCTCAATTACTGACCTTGTGCGCCATTTGTTTTGAATAAGTGAATCGAATTAAATCAATATCGTATTATCGAACTTAGGGTACTTACTCAAACATCTTCAGTGGTGTGTACTTTTTTTGTTTCATCGTTTCCGTCACGTCAACCGACGGTAGATCGGGGTACGGTGCTGTGTCTTTAAAAAGCGCTGTCCATTCTTGTGCCCACATGTTGCCCAGAATGTGAGCCGGGATCGCCGTCGTATTGAAACGGTTTGGATATATTTTCTCCATCAGGTTCCTTCTTATGTACGAGTGCAGTTCTTCGTAGAAAGGAAGCACTTCCGCCCACAGATTTTCCAGTTGTGTTTCGAAGTCGGGATCTTCATAAGATGAACGCCACCATTCGCCCATGTTTGAATAATTGCCCTTCTTTGCTCCTTCGTTGCCTAATTTAACGTAATCTCGATAATAGGGCAGTTCTTTCATGCCGGTTTCTTGACGCCACTGCTTCCAAATATACTCAAGCAAATCGTAATCCCTAGACTCGAACATGAGATTGGCCAACGTTGGATCGAATTCCCAATGATCAGCAGTAGCGGTTGGATCGTTGTAACAATTTGGATTTACTACGTTGCAAACGTAAGCATTGCTGTAGATTTTACTCATCTGATTCACATCGCGGTTGAATTCCTGCGCTTGCGAATCATCAAAGAACAGACCGATGTCTGAAATCTTCTCTAACCGTCTTCTTGTTTCGTATTCGAACCTTGAGAAGGGTCTAAATGCTAGAGCTTTATTTGCTTGAATAGCGTCGAAGTTCGTTTGGTTCATCTGCGCTTCTTCCATGACCGCCTGGTTTGCATCGTTAATGTGAAGGTAAAATTTCCATCTTGACCAGGCCGACTGATAATAATACTTTTCACCTTCTTCTTCATATTTGCGAAGGAATTTTTCAGCATCTTGTTTTGAACTTCGTGTGGCCTGCAACACCTTTTTGGTTTCGTTACAATTCTAAGTGAGAAAACTATTTAAGGCAGTTCAATTCAATACGTTCAATATAATAAGTTCAGAGAATTTAACAGTTAAAAATCAAATCTACTCCTTTAAAATCTGCATAAAACCGAAACTGCTCTTTGAAACATAAATGAAATGCGCTTTCGCATTAAGCTCATTCGCTTATGGCTATAGAATAACTACCGTCAGCAGAAAACATTTCCAAAAGAAGCAACCTTCTGCATGAACAGCACTGAGTTAATATACAAACAAAGCAGGAAAAGGTTTTGTAATTGGATTTTGTAACATGATTTTATTTCTGGTTGAAATAAAATAAACTTGCAAACTTCTCTTGCTCCATGGTATTTATCATTACTATGGAATGGAAAAGTAGAGTGATGATACAGCTCAGATTTTGCCCCGTCAACTGCGTGTACTTGACGATTATGAGAATGATGAAAAAGTTGAGGATGGGAATCATGATTATGATTATAAGATGTTTTTCACAAAACTTTTTGCAGCTTATTTGCATATTCATCAGTCCTCGTTAGCGTTGTATAGCGCAGTGACTAGTCACTTCGTATTGCTCACGATGTTCATGAAAATGCGGGACTAACAAATGAATTATGGAGGAGGCATATGTTATGTGAGAAGCCACAGCTGCCATGGCTTGGGCATGTGTTGCGAATGCCTCCAGAAAGGAAGGCTAAGCAACTGTTCCTTGCAAATCCGACCGGCAGTAGGCCCAGGGGACGGCCAAGATTAACCTGGTGCAAACATATGGAAGGAATCTGTTTCAGACCCCATTTGTCTTTTGCCGAAGCTCAGACTCTGGCACAGGATCGGAAACGTTGGAAGCTCTGTCTGACGTGTCTGCCACCGCGACCTGAAAGGAGAAGCGGCGATGGAAGATGGAAGAAGATGTATATGTTGGAATGCTGCTCTTTATGATGAGCCGAAAATATGAAAGAATCATGAGCCAACAAAATATTTACATCGAAAAACTGACTTTTCTGGGTTGTCTGATTTTCGCTGATTAATCTAATTTGATTAGAACCTTCAAGGCTGTACACCAAGTCCAAAAAGTCGGAAGCGCTGGTTTCTTCATCGTAAGTTGTAAAAATGTCCTCAATTTAGCACCAGTGCTTCAGTGGCTTGAACGGTTTGTCATAAGCTAATAGAAACGCAGTTTCTAGTGGTTCCAAAGAAGATTAAGATTTCTTGATTTCATCCGTTGACGCATATTCCAAAATATTTTGCTGGCTAGACTAGTTAAAAATGCTGTCAGTCATGTCAGCTCTGTCTGCCAAGGAGAGAAGGTTTTCAGGTTTCACGTTCTTCATAATTAGTACCTCTTTAGTGAAGTTTTGTACCAAAAGACATACCAAGTTCGAATGAAACTGAATGCAAACACAGATGCTGGCAAGTTCAAAGGTTTAATTGACACATATGAAAACCTTTTCAATGTTTAAAAGGGTAAAATAACGCCGTAAGAGAAGCATTCAACTTTTATTTGTTTTCTGTTATATATACTCTTATATCCAAGAAACCAGACATCTTATAGGACACAATTAGTGGATGCATGGTTAAATTTAAACGTCTTGAAGTGCTGTGCATCACAGCATTTCTGTAAGTTGCGTCATAAGAACTAGTCATCGAGCAGGTTTGTTTCAGTAGCATTTCTTTACCTTCATGACAAAATTCTCATCTTTCATAATATAATGGCCCACAAAAACCTTACCATCACGGCTGATAGGATATTTAATGTTCATATATCAGATTCCCCTCCTCTTATTCTTATGGGTCATTGAATGTTGTGCAAGTTTTCTGCGCTACATCCTTATTTCCTAGTTGTTGACCTCGACCGAACAGCAGCCAGAGTATTGCGTGGCATGCAAAAATGAAATACCGTAGCGTGCATTCTCCTCAGCCACTAAGGTAATTGTGAACGTCTGTCCTGTAATTAACCCTGGAGCAATCGGTTAACGAGGCAGTCGTAATGCTTGAATTATGGGTTTCCTTATGCCTATAAGACATGCATTTGTTTCGAATGTCACGTTGGGGTTCTTGGTAAAAGTGTTCATCTCTTCTATACGCATTTGCATACTATGGATGGAAATTGGTATCCATGTTTTGAAGAATGAGAAACCATCAAAGTGACCGATCACATGTCAAGGCTGAGTAGTGCTAAATACATTCTCCTCCTTTACTGTGACCTACCGCGATATTTGAAACGGTCGGCTGAAAGCCCATTGCAATTAGAAATGGCGATTTCCATTATGCTGTCAACGCAGTCATGTTTAAAAAAGAAAGATTTCCAGACAGCAAACCCAGACTGAAAATCTTGTGCCGTCTCTGTATAATCAACTGTGAAATCAGCTATCCTGATTTTACCCACTGAACAGATAACGATTATTCTAAGGCTAGAATGAAGATTCCGATGAATCTGGGTAGCTGAAATTATGGTATGGGAAGGGAAATATCTTAATATCTTCACTAACACCACTTGAACAGTCAGCAGGCATGATGATGAAAAAATGTTAATGATCGAGGTTACGCCCTGTGCTGGTAATTACACAGGATAATCAGCAGGCATATGGATCGAGTAAAAATGCAGCCATGGCGAGCGCTTCCGTCGGAGAGCATGGTTGTGTACCTCGAATGTTCTGTCATAGCAATTCCAGAATACCATGTTGCCCCTATTTTGGCAAGTGACCGACTTACTGCCCTTTTAAGGCTGGTTGCGCGGAACAACGTTGAGCTAATTCCTTACTCAAAGGAATTCGTCGATAAGACAGAGGTTGTCCCTCCAGCACATTCTAACTTGGAATCTGGAGTTCAAAGCCGAGCTCTTTGCTGCTTGCCACCATGTCTCTCCTCTAGTCTGAAGAATTGGATCCATGTAAACATAAGTACGGGGATAAGCAGATACGAGACAAGACAATTACCACACCCATGACGGAGAATATAAGCCACTCTTGGGCCATATGAAGCTGCAATCACTAAGTGTACTTTATCAAGGATTCTATAATTTGTCGGATATTCAGATTTACGTATCCGCGGCGACTTTCAAGTTTGCGGAAAAAACTTTCAATAATAACTGATACCTACTGCTTTGTTAGCTACTACTTGTTCAGCTTCATCGTAGATCGACAAATGATTGGCTCTCTTAACCTGAACATCAGAAGTAACCCTTTTGCGTAAAAGCCAATAAATCACAGAAATTTGGTATCCACTGTCAAATTTGCAATAGAATGCTATCTTATTTAAATCCCTGCCAGGTGATTAGCTTTACAACCATTCATAATCAATGAATAATTGAGCGTGGAGAGGAAGCAGAAAATGGCATAATTTAGTGGCGATATAGCTGCCGATATTGCGTTCCAAATGCTGTACGTGTAGCCACTAATGATGAATCAGATATCAGCACCTCACCAGCAGCTGCATGAAAGACCGGAGCAGCAAATGTCACACATCGTTAAATTATAACGCAAACCATCATTCCAACAATTGAAAGATTGAAACAATTGAATTTTCTTTATTACGATTGTGACTGTTTACCTTTGCAAACAATTAGAAGTTTCATGGTTCTAATGATTATCATAATAAATATGAGAAAGATGGTGAAAAGGAAAATAATAACAATAATGGTTTACCTTACCGTGATCGCAGTCGTGTCGTGATAGGATTGCTTCCGTGTTTCAATGAATCTCGAAGCATTGCAAATGAAAGCAAAGCTTTTGCTTCTACTAGGGCCATCATTGTTGCCCAGGTTTCAGGCGACGGGACAAACTAATAGACCAAAAGAGACAGGACAGACTAAAAGAGGCCGTGAAAAGTGTCGGACATAAATTTTGGAGAGTTGAATGAAGATGAAATTCAAAGCTTCACCCTTCCCCGTTCAAAATCGGGGTCAGAAAGAAAGAGGGTTGCAGACCATGCTGAGGTTTCTATGTGACTTAGCCATCGACCTCTTACGGAATTGCTATAATCGAACATTATACCGGGTCTGTCGTCACCCGTATAATCGAAGCCAGCGCAGACTGTTAGAGGATTTAGGCAAGCTCCACAAACTCGCCGATCAGAGACTGCTCACCATCTTCAAGCAGCTCAAGGTGTAGCAGCACGACAACGATTGCCAAAGATCGAGAAAACATCAATGAAGATGTCAGTCAGCAACGGAGCAGCTACCCGTTACGAACGGAGGACACAGGCAGCGCGATACCATTATAGCACGAGATAAAGCTCCACGAGAATGAAACTGAAAATGAGAGCTTACAGTCAGAAATTCGAACATACCATTACTAAGAGGCAAAAAGCAGGAGCCAGTCGATGAGATCGCAAGGTATTAACTTCACAGAGTTGGACTCTTCAATGAAACGTTGAAACTCTGGAAATCGGAACCTCTGTGAGTGGAAGCTATCCTACACAGGTGTCGACATTATGACATCCACTCAGGCCGGTGTTAGTGTCACAGTAGAACCCAACCTAGGTGACAGAATCATTGAATGGAAGCCTGTCAGCGGAAGAATTACAATTACTTGACTGAGGCGACAACAGGCCAAAGCTCTGTCCATGTTCCAGATCTGCGACCAATTTGGAAGAAGAAAATTAGTCCTTCCTTGAGGAAGTGGAACGTGCTGACAACGGAATTCCTGATTCTAGTGGGTGATTTCATTGAACATTTTCGAGCAGCCACTGTAAAGCCGAAAGGCGTGATTAAAAATAACGGCCTTAGCGACCTCAACAATAATGGCATGAAGTGGTTTTGAGCAAACAACGGGTTTCTGTTATGAACATCTTCTAACATTGAAGCAGGCACCAGTATACATGACATGGGGGAGGCTTGTACACAGTCGATGCTCGGTACGGTTATCGCACCGTATCACTTACGACGCTCTGTACATGGATGTTCGTATTAAGAAAGGTGTACAGCAATCAACCGATCATCACCTCGTTGTTGGCACATTACATTGTGAAAAACGGAATATCATGAGAAGAACTGGTGGCAAAGCAACCAGAAAATCAAAAGGGAAATATTTTCTTCAGCGGATACGAGGGGAAAACTTATCGCACGACGGTTTAAACGGATGACGGCCAGTCATGATGGCTGTTGTGGATACCGAGAGGAGGCTCTTTAAGAGCGGCTTAATCTGGTTTCAGAAGTGCTGGTCTACCACCTTGAGGTCAGAAACAAACCTTCTGATGGACACGAGATGCACAACTGGCTAGCACCAAGAAAAAGACTGCACTCAAGGAATGACTTGGAAACAAATAGCCTCCTACTCGCGTGCGATATGTTGAGGCATACAAGGCGACAGCAATAGCAGTGGTGAAAGCCAAATCTGATTCATGGGAAAAGTTCAGTGAAATGTGGGAGTCGAATTTCTAGACGACAAACAAGGTATCTTGGCATAGACCAGATGCAGCCTCTGACGTCAAAAGAGGGGCAGTCTAAGAGTCCTGACGGACAAGTCTGGACACCCCTTTACCGCGGATGAGAGCATTCATTGGCAATGGAGAGACAACGTATTGAGGAACTCCATAACCCTGAC